ACACAGTTGTATCAATTTCAGCAAGTGTGACATTTAAAAGTAATTGCTTGTTCAAAATTCAAACCTTTTTATGTCATAATACACTTTCATGCGCTCACTTTGCATACCAAATGAAAATCTGTGAATATAATCAGAGGAAATTAAAACAATTAAGTCAACTTAATGGGATTGCCCGCATCTGAGCACAGTGGGCACATGAAAGCTAAAACATTAAAAAGGCTGGACTTTGAACAGGCATTTGCTTTAAAATGTCACAATTACTGAAATTGATTCACCACGGAAACATTTTTTTGGTACAGCATTAAAAAAAGTGTTGGGTCCACCACACTGGCTTTTTGATTTCTGTTTTGTTGTACGAGGTGAAAAATATCCTCTGGCCATGTTTTAAAACTAGGTAGTTTCGACTCTTTTTTTGTTGTCGAAATATAAAGAGTGCTAAACACTAATGCCACAGCAGCCAACGAAACATTGAAGCGTGCTCGGATTTACGATGAGTGATCGCTGCATGGGCTTTCGCCGAAGTGCCGTTTCAAACCTCCGTTTCAAACCTCCGACGTGTTTGCGGGTTGGACCGCGCGTTTGTTCGGCGTGATGTCCGCGACGTTTCGCCCCGCCGTGCTGGGAGCTTCTTCGGGAACTGAATGCAGTGAGATCCTCCAAATGCTGGGTCCTACTTCGAGCGCCGATTAATTCCTGAACCCTTCATGAAAAAGCTTCCAGCATGTGGGGCAAAATGCCACACCTCATTCCAAACAACACATGGGACAACCCAAAAACACGACCGCTTACTATTATAGGGGGGCAATGGCGCAGTGTATGTTGAACGTCTTTCTCACCGTACGTAGTCAACCGTGCTAATCGGAGGTGCAGTGCCTACATGCCCAATGCCCTCAGTTGAAATCTTGGCGATGGCTATCATTGGCCAGTGATATCTGAACCAGCCCCCAACCTCTCACCTTCACACATTGACCATTACGAAGTAGTCACACCCCAGGCCCCCGTGATGATCACAGAGTAGCGCAGCCTTCATTCAAATGTGTTTACAAAAACGTAAAGGTACGGGTACAAACTGAGTAATCATTGGGAAAGATATTAACATGTTATTAACCATGCAAAAAATATTTAACTACACATATTTGGACCATATTATTTGACAGGCACTATTCTTCAGTTACCGTAGTTTCTTCTTTTTTCACACACTGGTTTCCTGCTTTAAGTTTTACCACACATATTTGGCAAATCTAGAATTAATCCCAGCAACGTAGCAAAGTGCTGTTTCATCTACATAACAAAGGCTCAGTCCCATTTACAGCAGCCGCACCTTTACAGCAGCCGCACCTTAACAACTGTTGGAACCTCCCAGTTCAACCAGTCTACACAACAAAGGCTCATTCTTAGCAGCGGCTTCAGCCGCACCAACCTCACAATAATAATACAAAACTCCGATCCAGGGGCCTGCCTTGGCTCCTCCCACCCTCAACCAGTATTTATACAAGGACGGTTATCTTGGAATTTCTCTTACTTGATACAGCTATCGTGCTGTGACGGTTCCACCTGAAGACGGAAGCTTGTGTTGCCTCCGAAACGTCGTGATTTTTATTTTACTTTTATTAATTTAAATTTTTTACCTACGTGACTTTACCGAAAAAACCTAAGAATAAAAAAACGTAAAGCTTTTATCGTGGTTTCTAACAATAACAAACGGATAGTATTTTTTTTTGTAATCTATATAAAATGTACAATACCCAGAGATTCTCAAACTTTTTGGGATGGTGCCCTCCCACAACCAAGACCGCTGGTTCTTATCCCAACTCTAAACTTCCGAAGGCCACAATTGAGATCACACGTCCCGCACATCTAATCAATGGGGTGCACAATTTCTTTCATCGCATTCGTGCGTTTTTTTTGTATCACCGCAACACGAAGCCGACGCTCCCCGGTGTACATTTAAACGTCCTCCTGCACGGTATCCACGCATGCCAAAGCACGCGCCCCCCACCCACCCCTTGAAAGGCTTTCACGCCACCCCCCCCCCCCCACGGGTTGAAAACCACGATACTACACACGCACAGTATAGGCTGAAAATTCAGTCACCAGTCGATGTTGAACTTCTTTCGCACCGTACGTAGCCAATCGTGCTAATCGGAGATTCGAAATGACCCCTACTCAATTCCATCAATGAAGCAAACATTCTCTGGCAATGGCTTTTTTTCACGGGAGAACCTAAATTCAACAGCTGGGGGGGGGGGGTGTTGCGTCGTGCAATCGCCAAGGTTCCTTTGTAGGTGTAACTCAACAAGGTGGTTTGGTGGCATTGGAGGCTCAACATTTCTTTGCTTTGGAGCATCGACACCGAATGTTGTAGGTATTGAGATTAAATTAGGTTCTCGTTTATGCGAGCCAGGTTTTACTACGTGGCACAAGCTCAGGACATCAGTTGATTGTCAAGCAATCCGATGACTCGCACGCCTACACAGCTGTAGAGACCATTCGTGGTTTGGTGCGAGGTAGGATGATGAAATGGTGCAACGTGGTTCTCAGCGCATCCAGTGAAAATATATGTACAGACTCATTTGCACCTAAATTCCAATACTACGATCCAGGACAAAATATTGAAAAATGCAGTAATACCACTGTGCACTATCGCAGTAGTCAAATATTGCATTGTCCACAACCTGTCGGCTCTCCGATGCAAGCCCATTTATAGGGGAATTGTTCCAATGTGGAGGGAATTCTTCGTCTACATACGAAGCATTCTAAAAACTTCCAAGCTCACTTTGACGTCCACGTATTTAAAGGCAACAATGAGAAGCGTGCATGCAAAATTACGAAATTTACATTTGAATGCCGCACATTTGCGCGAATGGATGGGCGGAAAGACCTCCGGCAGGCAAATCATCGTTGTGCGAACCACTGCAGCTTCAGCGATTGTTGCGGCGTTCTCGCTAATTAATGCAATGCGTTCAACATCTGCTTTTCCAGCTTGGCGCTACATCACATTCATTACATTTGCCTTCTCATTATGAGCCGGCTACCGTGGCGCATGCTTAATGAGGGTTAATTTTCGTTTTGCCGGATTCATAATCGCACGCAAAACGATGAAAAACTATCGGTATGCCACACGTGTAAAATGCCTAATCGTAGAGACCGGCAAATTTGGTCTCTGGATAAGCAAGCCAAGGTCAAGTTCACTAAACAATTGCAGATATCTGTCGTGGAGCCAACCGGCAAACACAGCAGTTATTGTATTAAAGCAGACCAGGATCAAAATGACCACAGAGGCAGACGAGGGGGATTATTTTTTAAGACAAAACTTTTCGGTGTAAGTCAACACACCAATGACATTAATAAAAATAAACGCGTATTGCCCCATAATAATGTATATGGATTAGATTCGGGAAAATGTTCAAATTGAAAACTGGGTGTGCAGAGGCATGGAAAGATGCATGTTTCAGATAACAGAGCGAGGGAACACATGGATCAAATAACAAACGGAGGTTAAATACGCCATTCATTGTTTAACAAAGTAATCAAGCTTGGGCAGGACAGCAGAAAGAGATGGCCGATGGAAGTGAAAGGCTCACGGCCCCCAACAATATCCAAATGTGAAAACACCCCATCCATGCTGTCAAACCCAATGGTTTGAAATGTGGCGGGCCCTCACACCGATGCCTTATCGGCGAAAGTGGCACCCACTGAAAATGAGTGAACACCGGCCTACGCTCAAGAATAACGAGTGGAAATCAAGTGAGGGACTGCGTCTAAGTCGTCGATCTTGGCGATGCAATGATTACATCAGCTTGTGTGCAGGTCCAAGGTGATTGAGACTGGCGCAGAGATTGAGACATTTATCCGGCAGCGATCATGGCTGACGACCGGCATCTATCAAAATACAACTTTGTTCAAATAGAGAACAGGTCTGTCGAGGAGACAGTCTGAATGGCACGCCCCAGGCTTGGAGCGACTATTTAAGCTGGGATGGAGGGGGAAGAGCGCCTTGACAAAATAATTTGCATATCAAGAGGAATTTAGCATATATATGGGAAATGCAGATTCGATTAGTACTACTTGTGAAATGCGTAGGTTTGGCGAGGGGTTTAAAGTCATTATGCCCATGCATTATGCAGGATTAGCAGCATCAAAGGGAGTGAGGTTAGAATTAATAAAGGGAAGGAATGTTAATAATTGTTTTATTTTATTTTCCTTCTACGTGACTTTACCGAAAGAACCAAGAAGATGACTCCCTGCAGTCACGAAAGCTTTAAATCGAAATTTGTTCAAATATATACGCAGTGCAACTATGCATGATGCCGGTGCCCAATGGCCATCGCCGACCAATCACAATAGAACTTGCCGTGCAGTTGGAACGTTCACACGAATCAATTTCAGCAATTGGCGCTAAGGTTAAAATATAAATTTAAAATTTTGAATCAGTAGTCCATGACGAATTGTCTAAAAATAATTAACCGCAAATCAATTGAGACTTATGGAATCGTGTCAAGAATAAGACGCTGATCTTTTAGTAGGCAGTACAGCACAGGTTGCCATTTGATCTGCATGGCACTGTTACCCCATGGGATTCCATTTCCTTCCCAGGGAAAATGTCTCCCAAGTAAAAACTGCTTGAGAATCTCCAGACTTGACCAGGGAGGTTTTAAATTATTTACCAACGATTTACAATGTAATCTTTTTTGCAGTTTCATGGAAGCGCTCATGGCTAAATTAACTTCCAAAACACACAATTCCTGATGGTCTGTCACGCAAACACAATCAACAGCTTATAAAAACCCCCATTAACCAACCACAATGCCCACGAATTGCCATTCACGCAATCTGTGCATCGTAATTTGAAAGTCAATTTCAATTTACAGAGCACCTGTCGACTTAAAATATTAAAATGCAGCAAAAACAGCGCAACGCCAACATGAAAACCTCGACAGCACCATTCATCGCACGCACCGTGCACTCGAGCAGCAACAAAGAGGACTCGCACTGCACCGTTGTTGGTCTGGGTATTTATTGATAGCTCCACACGCAAGCCATCTAGGCTACATGCCATCGAGCACAATGGTGGTAAACATGTGTACTTTAGAACTTCTGGAACTGCTTCTTGTTGCTGGCAGCCTTGGTGACCTTGAGTACGTTGAAACGCACGGTCTTGCTGAGCGGCCGACACTCCCCCACCGTCACGATGTCGCCCACTTGCACATCCCTACGAAGGAAAATGGGGACGAGGAAATGCACAGGGAGTGAATGAAACACTTTGCCCGCACGCACATTATTGCCGTGTCTTCACTCAGACGGAGGCTGTGGTTTGTGATCAGAAAATGTCTTGGCTCGCTGACCAATTCTACTGGGTGGGGGCGTATGTGAAGTGCTGTTAAAGATGGACTCAAGAGTCATGGAGAACAAGTAACTTATGCCCCAACCTTATTCCAGTGCCATTAGGCACGCATTGTACTGCGGTCTGATTTTCCTACCTTTTCTTTAACCTCTCCACCTCCATTTCAAAAACACTCAGAAAAAAATAGCTTTTCATGATCACAACCCTCCTTTAAAAGCACTGTGAAGTTTGTCACCTTGCTTGTAAAGTTATATTCAGATGCTTTACAAATACAAATTGTGGTCATGCATGCACAACTTCTGTGGCACACAATGATGACCTCTGTCGTTGAGCAGCTACGAAGTGGCCGCCAGCATTCGTTTTGTTTTCAATTTGTATAGAAAATGGGTGTTGCTTCCAAAAAATAATCTGACATTTCAAAATTGTATTGTGATTTACGATATGAATTATGGCTTTTAATATGCACAATGTTTATTATGATGATCGTATCGTCGAAGCAGTTATAAAGTGCAATTATTTAATTTGCTCGCTATAAATACAAACTCAGCTTTGAACATAATACAGGGTGTTTCACAAAATGGACCCGATTTGAAATCGCTACATCTCTGAAATTGGGTCCATCTTTATGAAACACCCTGTATAAAAAACCCCCAACAACTATGATACCTTAAAATATTTACTAAAGAAATACAATTCAAAACACATTGCAATTTCAACAGTAAATGGTAACTTGACTTCAAGTACTCATACTTCAGAACCTGATTATATCATAGTGCTGTATTAGTGTTCACACACTAGAATAAGCGCTACATTCCACCCAGTACTTCTATTGCATTAACACATAATTATATAGGACTAGCTTGGAGGGGGGGGGGGGGTCTTGTCTTTAACAAGCGAATAAAAATAATCACAATATCAATCTGAAGTGGCCTGATCAGAAAAGGCCAATTGGCAGTCTCATCAATGCTCCCTCACCAAAGGTGCTATGAAGACCATCGTGAGAATTACTCATCATGTCAAGCCACATCAGCACTGATGTTTCATTTGAACAAAGACTCGGGACTAAAATAAATAACACCTCTAGAAGTAACAAAGCAACATACAAAAGTTTTACGCAAGTATCCCTCCATCGTTGGACACAATTTCAAAAACTTAACAAGGGTGGAAAATTATATAGAAGGAAAATGTACTACCACTATGTATGTTGTTTGGAAATTACTCTGAATCCTACCAGCCTTTTAGCACGAGCAAATGTAATGTATTTATTTATAACAATGGAAATGTTGATGGAGACTTGGACAAAATCTTTTAACAGTGTTTGGTTGCTATGCAAAAATTACCAACTACATTTGTACCTGGTCAGCATTGGCACGATGCTCATTTCTGACTGCTATGAGATAGAGATCACACGTTCTGATGGCAGGTTCAGTCCTTCCATATGTAGACGACGACTGACTACTCACATAATGGCATGCAATCCCAGACCAAGATTTTAACTCTAAATCCAACACCATCATGACGGATTGTAGTTTAAAAGCAAACTAAAAAAGCATGATTTTGTAAGACAAATTAAGTGTGTGAAAATGTATTCCGTAACTATTGAAAAATGAAAGCCTTCCAAGGTCTGTGTCCCATCAGGTTATAACGTACAAATATCTGGCTTCAGGTCTTCCCCATCGATGTCTTTAATTCCAATCTTTATAACCTACCCTTCTCGTCTATCCTACACGTGACTTCAGGATTCCAAATATCGTATTCCTGATGCGACAAAATGGTTTCCCAACGTTTTATTCAAAATCTCCAAGTTGCTTACACTACCCTGGCTTGAAATTCCGAGCAACCTCTATGAACTCAAACTCAAGTTAAAGATGCCTCTTTAATTCTCACTTGGTATCACACCACACAAATATGGAGGCCACAGCACTTGGGCTGTAACTGTCACGCCCTTGCTCCCAGACGTTGTCATCAATGTCCTTTGCGTGTTCTACACTGCTGCCAGTGGTTATGCCAGGACTCACCTGAACGCTGGCGAGAGGTGGACGGACATGTTCTTGTGCCGCTTCTCAAAACGGTTGTACTTGCGGATGTAATGAAGGTAGTCACGACGGATCACAATCGTGCGCTGCATCTTCATCTTGGTGACGACACCTGGGGGAGGCACACAAAAGTTAAAACGTGCCAGGCAGGCTTAGTGCTTTACAGTTATTTCATTACTATCAGGTTTCATGCCTGCAACGTTTTTTGCAGCAGAGGGCACAGTTATTGTGTTAACCTAACTGCATCATTTGTTGGTATTTTTTGTTGCAATGAGATGTTTGGCCAATACCAGTTAGATGGTATGTTTTTTAGTTTATGCAGAAAACCAGATAATCCAGAAAAAAACCCATACAGCTCAGGGAGAGAACTCCACACAGAAAGGCACCCAAGTTGGGAATATAACACATGGCCTTCTTGCTGCAATGGACAAGTCTTAACATTAAACGTCCCTCCCACTCATAGAACTGGGTTGCCACCTAGTGTTACCTTTCACAAGTTAGAGTACAATGATTAGAATATCAATCTGAAGTGACCTGATCAGGAAATGCCAATAGGCAGTCTCAGCAATGCTCCCTCACCAAAGGTGCTATGAAGACCATCGTGAGAATTACTCATCATGCCAAGCCACATCAGAGCCGAGTTTATTGTAAAAAAATACTCGGGACTAAAATTATTGAATACCTCAACAAGTATCATACACTGATAAAATTAAGCAATGCGATTATTTTATTGGTGCGAATCCCAAGCATGTAACAAGAGTATGAATGCTATAAAACAAAAACATTTACAAGTGAAAAAACACTCCAGAATATGGCAGCCTTTTTATAGCACTAGCAGAAATGTTTGTTTAATGCACACTTTTCCTGCAGGGCCCAGTATTAGGTTGCTTGGTCAATTCCTGATAAATTATCATCGTATGGGACAAACATTTTTGCTGCCGTCACTTTCCCAAGGTGTTAAGATTTGATACCATCACATAAGACCAGTTTTATAGACAAAAGGTTGTTGGGATCACGCAAGACCCCCAGGGTGGCCAAAAGATGGTGGTATCGGAGGGAGGTTCGTTAACCCATCCGAGTATTAACCCCTGGTTTGCGTGTTTCATCCCAATTATTTGAGATACCCCCAACATGAAAAAAACTGGTTTAAAAAGCAACTAGCCATACATTCAAATGCAAGACCCATCTGAAAGTCGTAATATTCGTTGTCGCTTCCTGGGTAAAAAGTTCTAATCAAACAAATGAACTTATGGATGCACGCTGCGACACTTGTTTAAATGCCAATAAAATCTGCAACAGTAGAAGTCACCTCATGCATGCTGAGACTAGACCCTGAAGTAGTAATGGGCCATTGCAATGATCAGCTCAGGGTCAAAATGGAGATAACCCCAAGCAGATTTGTTTTGGGAACCAGACACTTCTGATCATCGGAAAATTGCCAATTCTCAATGGCTTACCCTGGGATAGAGAACATGACTACCACTTTGGGGAAGTCAACAACTTCATAGAAAACTCGACTGCTTTACACAGTAATGTGGAATTTGTGCAGGAACACTGTTTATTACCACACAGCACTAATTTGTAAATGTAAAAAAAGAGTTAAGGACTCACCTGTAAGAATACGGCCACGGATGGACACGTTGCCAGTGAAGGGGCATTTTTTGTCAATGTAAGTGCCCTCAATGGCCTGTTACAAATACAAAAACATAGGTAATATAATCACGTCACATGAATACTTAATTTAACCACAACCCAGCGAGTAACAACAGCTGCATTTTGCTTGGAATTACATTGATGCCAACTAATGGTTTAATCGTACCTGCAGCTAAGTATATGATTTATATTTGCGTTTTCAAAGAAATACTTGGATAGTTTTTTACATCATACTTTGTACAATTGTAAAACCTAAAATCAAATTATTTCATTAAATGGCTGGGTAACATGTTTAGAACAGCATCACACGTCATGTGGAACAGCAGTGGCTTGATCAGTTAATGCCAATAGGCAGTCTCAGCATTGCTCCCTCACCAAGGGTGCTATGAAGACCATCGTGAGAAGAAAATCATCATATCAAGCCATGCCCCCACAGCACAGTACTTCCAGCATTATCACAGAGATAAAACCCGGGGCAGTTGTCAGGCATCGGCAACCAAAACAAGAGGAACCATTTTTTTATTCAGTAAAAGCCACAATGCATGTGAATACGAGATGGTCCTTCATAAATAACGTCATGAAGCAGCACTAAGAGCCGCATCTGGAGCTGTTGGTTGCCGACCCCTATTTATGAAACATTTTCTGAGATGACAGATCTGCTAAGCAGAGGTGTAGTATTTTTTCCCCCTGCATGGATATTCACAGGTTGAAGCAAATCTTACCTCACGGGGGGTCTTGAAGCCCAGGCCCACACTTTTGTAGTACCTCTGGACTTTCTTCTGCTTTGCAGAGCCCGACACAAGTACCTTCCTGTTTTGGAAAACAGTGGGCTGCTTCTGGTAGGCCCTCTCAGTCTGAAATTATAGAGCAGGTAATTGGTCAGTTAAAATAAAACAGATTCTGGCACATGCCTATTCAATAATTGACCTTAATTTACAATCAAGGGACACAAGATCCCTTGATGGCAAACTTGTCCTAAAGCAATTTTGCCTTGAGAAAGCATGGCACTATCTATTCCAATACAGAAACTACATCTGTTTTATGTAGATTTAGTTTAAACTTTACACTTGAATTTATATTATACATGTGAAACGTATATCGAGTTTGCCGTAATGAGCATTAGGGTGGTCAAATACATTTTCATATTCAAATAATTATGGATGCAGTTAATTCACCTCAAGTACATAGCAGCATATATTGTCTTCTTAAATAAAATAAAAAATGCTTTAATGTAGCGTTCTGCGAGACAAAAAATACTACGACTATAAAAATCCCGTTATGTGCCTTTATTTTCTCATTGGGTGGTAACCAGAAATAATTTAGATAATTAACATAATGTACTCAACCATTTCAAATGTGGCAACTGGCCAAGGTATTTACAAGTAGCGGCAGTGAGACATGGGACGTGGACTTGATCAGAAAAAGCCAAAAGGCATCTCAGCATAGCTCCCTCACCAAAGGTGCTCAGAAGACCATCGTGAGAAGAAAATCATCACATCAAGCCACGTCGAGATCCACAATGGACGAGTAACCAAAATGTGTCTATTTGTAAACTGAGCTAAACACGTGTACAAGACTACAAAGTCAAGATGTGGCATTTGCCGACTTCCACTTCGTTATGCCTTCACCTCTTGAATAGATCTACATTACTGTACACCACCCGATTTTACGAAATTATCAGTTCCTGCAATATACTTATGGTTTACGTAACTTATTTTTTTGTTTGTGGGATTGAGAATCGCAATTGCCTTTGGCCCAAAAGCTATCACTTATTGTAAAAATATAAAAAATTAGGGGGTGGTGGCATTCCCATCCCATATTAACAATACGTAACACTACTGCAATTGATGAAGCCTTCGTGAATGCAGACAATACATTTGCTTACTCCCAACGACCCACTTGAGGTCCATTACATATCAACCACGTGCGCAATCTAAAGCCGACGTTCTTCAACGTCGTGCAACGATTCCAGGGGTACCAACACATTTCAAGATATTAATTAGCCAAAACCGAATTAAACGCGAATGGTAGTGGCCTACGTGGCAAATGAAATCGAAAACTAAACAAAACTTGAGGCCAATGCAAATTGAAGCACTGGCATGATAGTCACCATGAGTCGTGATCAATCCACTTTGAACGCTTCCCTCGCCGAATGTAATAACTAGTGTCCATCGTTCACGTGCATTTATGAAATAATTATCTTGTTGTCCATTCTTAACTTACAATGCTTTAAGACTTCATGCAGAACATTAAAGTACAGTACATTGGCTTGAAGTGCTGCGTTAATGTAGACTATTTTAACGAAGGCTCAGGGTGCAGCAGTAAAGCACTAGAAGCAATAGTTCAACGTACATCCATGTACATCACTGCCTTGAGATAAAACATCGGCTTCATACAGATAATTATAAAAGCAGAGGTATGACCACTGCAAACCAACATAAAAGCCCCACCAATGGCTTCATTATACAACACGTGCAAGCGTACAACTCTTTACACAGCCTACACCAGAACCATTACGCACAACCTTTAACCACATAGGCGTTTCACCACAACTTCCTTCCTCACACAGTTACCCCGTCGACTTATTCTTGCACATTTCTCCAGACCTATTAAATGTTTAAGCCGCGACTTTGTCGAGGCCTACAGCGGCGTGCTCCTACGGCAGCCTTAGGCCCCGAAAGCGTCAAAACTCATCTCGGGCCTCTTAAGCTCTCGCGGCTTTAACCGCTACCGAGAGACACACACACACACGTAGCTGCGTTAAGCGCTTAATGTTCGTTGTGATTTAGGCGTCGAGGCGCTGGTGGTTTAAGTGTGAAGAGGACGAAGCGAGCGACGAACACCCCACCTGTATGTCCGCCATGGCGCCGCGCAGAGCGGAAAGAGAGCGGGGGCGGGCGGGGTCTCCCGAACTGCGCGCGCAGGGGCCGGAAGTCGGAAATACGTCACGAATAATTAATATTCATATATTTTTTTAAATTGTTAAACATTAAAAAAAAAATACATATATATAACATTGTGCAGCGTATTACGTCTATATTGCCATTGCTATACGTTGTATTAATATATTTTTTGAAATATATATCGGAAAAGACGTAGGACGTTGGTAACAGACGCCGGAAATTACGTCATCGGCACCGAGGTCGCCCACGATGTTATCCACTGCTGGATGGACGTCTCCACCTCCGCCTTTGTCTCTCCCCACGAGGACCCCTCCGCCTCGAGCCTGCTCCAGTGCAGCTTCCTGCACACACGGGGCGACTTAGTGATGTATTTAGTCGCTCCGTACTCTCGGACGTGATAATATTACGTCTCCCCCCCCCCCCCTAATTAGTCGCAGGCTTTCTCCATTCAGGAAGGCCTTCATGTCTCGGTGCTGTTTGTCGCTGGCCGCGCTTGCTCAGCAACTTTAAACAAAAACAACCCTTCCAAGTCAGTGGTGCATATAAACACAACAAACTCAACATTCGTGAATAACCTGGAGCGGGCGGGCGGGCGGGCGGGCGGGGGGGCGGAATAACAGTTGACGTTTCGGTCACAAACCCTTATCAGTGCCTACCTTAATACGGAACATTTAAGACTTAATTAATCACCCCGTGCCCCTTATACATCTCAAAGTTCATCCTACAAAGTCCCATCACAAGGGAGAAACACACTGAAACGTCTGCACGCCGTATTGACCTGAACACTCAATTTCCCTGTGCAAGAATAGGGGCTGAATCGTACGGGTTGACAGCTATGCAATCAATTATCCTTCCACACACAATAATCATTTGTCCTTCCACACACGACAATCAATGGTCCTTCCACACACGACAATCAATTATCCTTCCACACACGACAATCTTCGTGCTTATCCAGCCTTATCGTGCTTAGCCTCAGCAGCATTGCGGCTGCTGTGCTGATGGCCATGAACCACGTGGAGTTGCACGCCGCATTCAGTTGTAAACGCCTCTCGCAATGTCTACAAATAATGCGGCCACTCCAATCTACTACATTAATCAAGCCCCTCATAATAGTTGTCTACCACGAATAGTTACGTTGTAATCGCACAGTATGTGCATATTTAAATTATATGTTAAATTATTTTGCAAGGAACGGACGTGACGTAATCTTCGCACAGCTGTGGGCCCTGTATGGGTTTGAGTGCTCAGTGCGGGACCCCGTAGCGGTGTTGCTGTTGTTGTTATTGATTGATTTATTGTTGATTTGTTGTTGTTGTTTTGCACGGAAGCGATGGCCGAGTCGGGGTTCCGACGCGTGGCCGTGCTGTGCTGCGTGGCCGCCTGCTTCTCGCTGCTCGCAGTGAAGGTGTTCGTGCCCATGGCGACGCGAGAGACTCCTCACTCCGGCCAGGGTGACGACTGCAACAGCAGTACCACCATCATCACCATCATCACCACCAATACAGCAGTACCACCACCATCACCACCATCATCACCATCACCACCAATACAGCAGTACCACCATCACCACCATCATCACCATCACCACCAATACAGCAGTACCACCATCACCACCATCATCACCATCACCACCAATACAGCAGTACCACCATCACCACCATCATCACCATCACCACCAATACAGCAGTACCACCATCACCACCATCATCACCATCATCACCATCACCACCAATACAGCAGTACCACCATCACCACCATCATCACCATCACCACCAATACAGCAGTACCACCATCACCAATACAGCAGCAGTACCACCACCACCACCATCACCACCAATACAGCAGCAGTACCATCACCACCACCATCACCACCATCATCACCATCACCACCAATACAGCAGTACCACCATCATCACCATCACCAATACAACAGTACCACCATCACCACCATCATCACCATCACCAATACAGCAGTACCACCATCACCAATACAGCAGTACCACCATCACCATCACCAATACAGCAGCAGTACCATCACCACCATCACCACCATCATCACCATCACCACCATCATCACCACCATCACCAATACAGCAGTACCACCATCATCACCACCACCTCCAATATAGCAGCAGTACCACCATCACCACCATCATCTCCAATAGTAGCATCAGTACCACCACCACCATCATCTCCAATTGCAGCAGGACACCGTGGTTCATCAGAGCTAGCATGTTCAGCCGTGGTAGCGATGACAATGGTGCTCAATTATAAAGATTTGGTGACCACTATATTGTGCATTTCCAATAGTACCGTTGTTAATCTGCACTGGGATATGAAACGCAGTGGTAGTGATTTCGTTTATAATGTAACCATTGTTCATAATACAGGGTTTTTTGGGTTCGATCGCCTAAATATATAAATGTGTCGTTAAACCCGCCACCACCCAACAAAATAAAAATTATCACGACGTTTCGACTGCACCACAAGCAATCATCATCAGGTGTGAAATCCACAGCAAGAAAATTTGAAAAAAGTAAAACGTCGTGAGAATTTGTATTGTTTAATATTTATATTATTTTATTATTTCCCTTCTACGTGACTTTAACGAAAGAACCAAGAATATAAGAACCATCGTTAATATAATCTTCTGTGGTTTAAGAAACAAGACCTTGACAACGATCTGGTTGTCTTAATACCAGACTGAAGCACCATTGTAAATACATATTTAAATATTAAAGTAGTGGTTTTTGTGCCATTTATAATTGCACAATTGTTCATAAAATGTACCATATTAAACAGGGGGAATGGTGAACATTTGTGTTAATGTAACAGCAGTAGCAGCCATTTATTTAGCTCTTATTAATATAATTACCATATTAACCAAACAAGGCCACAGAATCATTTATAATCTTGTTAAGGCATGAATGTACTTTGCAGCCTTCTTCATTAAGGTCTTCAATCATATTCTGTAGTTTATTTCAACTTATTGTTATAATGTGACGATGTCATCAGAAAATCTAAGATGGTTAATATTTTCTACATTCATGTTTATGGCTTAATTTCTCCATTCCAATTTTCGGAAAACATCTCTGTCGATGTCAATGACTTTGGCGAAAGCACATGTTGCTGTCTGACTCCACTTGTAAGATGTATTTTGGTTCTTTCTGGAAGTAATCTAAGTTTAGCTGTTCCATTTTTGGAAACATTGGTTTTACTCGAAGTATGTTTTTATAAGCCTTTGTGAGAGCTCAGTTAATACATTTTCACTGAGTCACCATAATATAAAAAGGTTGTATTTCATGGTATTTGACAATCGTTATAGTAATTTAAAGATTCATTGTTAGTATGTACAGTACATAGTCATTGTCAGAGAAACAACTCAACCCTGCTAACAGTTGAGGAATGTAATTTCTGTGTAAACGTTTAGTAAATAAATTTGATAATGCTCCAAAAACTAGTCCCACTTATTTGATGATGTTTACATTTATACCGTGTAGAGTCTACACTGTAGACCAAGAATTTTCATTTTTTTCCACACTTATTGAGGTTGGGTCAGGATCAACACGATGAAACTTGCATGAAAAGCAACATAACCAATGTTCCAACAGAAAAGTTGTTAATTAGTGCAGATTGGCTTTTATCACATATAGATGAGAAACGTGGACATTTGCAAATACATTGGAGCAAAAGCTGAAAGTGCTCAAATAAGCATGGAGCGGTCTATTCTTAGAATCACACTGTGAGGCAGAAATGAAACATTAATCAGAGAATATACACATGCTATAGAGACATCGTAATGGATGGGTTTGATTACACCAAAGCCGGTGGCCCTGGAAAAAGACTTAGTTTCATTCTAGATTTGAAGCTTTCGTGACTGCAAGGATTCATATTCTTAGGTTTTTTCACACTCACATCTGCTGCTGTGTTGTCACCGAACTCTAAACAGATTTTATTTAAAGCTAGCCTATTTAATTTTTTACCTACGTGACTTTACCGAAAAAACCTAAGAATAAGACTTAGTTTCAGTCTAACCCAGTTCCTTAACACTTGGGTGATTCTGGAATTGAGGCAAAATACAGCTACCGAGGGTGATTTTTTTCTTCCCTTTCGACAACTTTAGGAGCTGCGCGTCAATTTCCTAAGCAGACGCCACAGCGCCCGCTCGGCCCTCAGCCCGAGCGGCCCCGGATGGGAGGGTCTCATATCCCCGAGGCACGCGCTCGTCACCATGCAAACTCCCAGCCCGCCACCAGCAACCGCAGCATCATGGGGCAAGTCCTGCCCGTCTACTGCCTGGGCATCTTCATCTACGTCGTGTACATCCTCTTCAAGGTGCTCGCTGGGGACTGTTGTGGGTCTGTCGTTAGGCGGCTGCTGGCCATTTAACGTATACCTGTATTCCATTGTAAAACCCAAAGTTGTGCCAGGGCTGCGCCGAGCTAGTCCGACATGGCTCAGGAGGTGCCAGGTTTTTTCCACTACAGATTCTGAGCTGTGCCGCCAAAATCGCACGCAAAGGAAAGTCAATATGCATGGATATGATGCAGTGAATATGTCATTATCCCCGACTCTTGCCCTGCTTGGCCCCGAGCCAGATTCAGATGTCTTGTGAAGCCAGCTACCAGACGGGTTGGTTCTGGCTCGGCACGGAGAATAGCAAGTGGAAAACCACCCTTACCGTGAGGGCCCCGCACTGGCATGGATCGGATGTGCCAGTGGAAATTGATAGGAGGCTTGAGCCAAGCTGCACTTAGTGGTTCATTACCCATAATCGATTTCAAACTATGTCATGAGGTTATCATGGCAAATTCTGTTGATACCACCTCACCACTCCATCACTTTCCTTTGCTATATGCCCAAGTTGTTAAGTAGTAATATGCCCATGCGTATGTTGGGACAGTTTTCTGACAATCAGCCTCTAGTATTTTAATGTCCAAGCAAAAAGAATCAAGGAAATTGTTGCGATCAACAATACATGTTTTCCTGTTCATTGCTCATTGCCCATGTCGATTGGTGGCCCAGAGACAGTAGAATAGATTCGACATTGCTGCGGTGAAGATACATTCTACCCACAAGAAAATCACTGTTGACTTTCGACCAACTTACACTAATTGTATTAGGTGTGATGGGTTGAAGGACGAGGTTGACTCCAGCTGCACAGTAATTTCCGTGGGGAGTTTTCAAACCATAAATTTATTTGTGGAGTGATACAGACTGTTGCATCACTTTCTATTCTCATATTTTGGTACTGGCAAAGGAGGTCCCATGATGTTGCTGCTCACCCCGAGCTCATTACTCTGATAGTGCGTTGTCTTTGTGCTGTACGCCTTTTGGCATCCTTTGGTCTAACACCGTTTTGAGACGAGGCTCGAAAGAAAGTTGTCTCTGGTGTGGACCAATCAGTTTCAAAGACAATGCACATACTGTTCAGAGTATATTTTTTGTTTGCATTCTGACCACAAGTATTGTGGTTAATGCAGACATGATTCCTTGTAAAAGGTTTCAGTTTGGTGGTTTTAACATCTTAAGTAGGTCTCGTATTTTGGTACTGACAAAGGAGTTTCCATGATGCCCATATCTTCCTGTTAAACGAAATAAGTAATTGTGCTCTATCCTGATTAAATAAAGGACATTCAACTGATTTCTAGGCTGGCTTTGAATGCTCATCTCGGAAGTAATAAACCCCCATGTGAGATCAGTTTTACAGCACGGACAACAAGTTATGATGACAACCTGCATTTGAGGATGTGTTAAATATAAGTTTATGATGTAAGTTTATTTTAGCGGTTGATAACGTGAATGTGTGTTTTTTGTTTAAGATTACTACGAGAAAAGATGGTTCACAACCGAAGAAGCCGGTTAAGTGTTTGAGCGGCAGTGGTCTGAGTAAGTCAATCTCAGTCCAAACATCTATTCATGCTCTTGTGCATTCTCACATAGTAGTACATGCCTAGCCAGTTTATTGGATGTCACTGAGCAGGGATTGGTGTGATTGTGTGTGAGATTTGTTCATTTCATTGCACACTGATTAAATTCCTGCATTTTCTTTGAACCTGCAATAAACTAGGGTATTCTCAAATATAATCCTCAATTCTCGATGAAATTTTGGACTGAATGAAGCCACCAGCATTTCATTCTGCTTTTGCTTTTCTTTATTTTTCTCTTTGTCCAAGCATAATGCTGCGTCTTTCAATTTAAACCATTTATAATGACGTCTGGATGGCCCCAGAGCTGTTGGACACACACTAATTGTGACTGGAATTAAGGGTAATTATCACTGGGTTAGCTTAGTGGGCAGTTTTCACAGGGTCAATGGATTGATACCCGCTGCTTCCAGCTAATTTCTGCGTGGGATTACCGTAGCATACTGCATACATGCCAATGCGTACTACTTAAACATAGCATATTACAGCAACTTCACATCATGGTGATGATGATGAGGTGGTTGACAGTTGTTGTCATTGCATTGTACCCCACTCAAGGTGAACACCAGCTCATCCAGCTAAAGCAGCGTTTGGAGGACACGGAGAGAGCACTGGAGAAACTCGCCTCTAAAGTGGGGCCTTTCTCCGATGGCAGGTGCTTGTATCAGCAATCCTACACCTGAGTTCAGTGTTTTGTGTATTTGTATGTACACGTGTACATTGTTAATCCACTGCTGAATGAGGTTCGCCTCATGGTGGGTGAGTCGTGGGAATTATTTGACCATACTTCTAGGGTCAGCAACTTGATGCTCATTTGTCTGCAACCACTTCAGCAAGTTAACCGATCACTTTAAGAAGCAATAAAAACCAATGACACATTCTACATATTCACCTCCATTCTAGTAAGCAAATGTAGATGTATAGCCTAATTGATACCAAAGTTGTAGTTTTTTGCGGGCCATTCCTCCCTCCTATTACCCCAGATAATGGAGAGTTGACTCTATTATGCTTCACTCCCTTTCCTCCAGCACACTGTGTACACTTGTGATGCATGTTGATCAATTTGAGCGATCCCTTAGTTGTTGTGTTACTCGTAATAAGAACATATGAGATCATGGCAATGGACAAAAAAGGAGCTGTAAGGTTTAACTGCCCGATCATGTGTGTGTGCGTGGCAGAAGTGGCGGTGAGCAAGAAGAGCGACTGCTGTCTCAGTTACAGGAGATCGCGCGCACACTTAGAGAAAGCACCGACTTCACCGGTGTGGATACACCCGGGGGCGGCACGCACCCCCAACACGGTCAGTGGCCGTCACGTTACTGCCACGCTGACGCTATGCGCATGGCTGAAATTCACAAAACGTCGCGATGTTAACAAACCTGTATGGAGTGGTAGACTCCACAGTCTGTAATGAGGGGAGTTCAATGTCAAGGGGTTATCACGGCCAACGTCTTTGATACCACCAACACCCTCTACATTAGTTTAACACGTTGGCTTTCGCGACCAATATCATCCATGAGTGTTTCTAGCACTCATTAAAGTTAGTGAAGTGCTCACATATGACTCGCTGGCCTGTTCTATCCCTTATTGATCATATAATAACGTGAGTTGTATTTATTACAAACTTGCAGACTCGGCAGGGGGTGAATGTCCAGGACACCAAGCTGCCGCAGAAGGTGAACACTCCCCATCGGTGGAAGAAGCTGGTACTGCGGTCTGTGCCGAAGGCAGCGCAGAAACACCGACCGGTCACACACAGCTTGGAGAAACCATGGGCCCTACCAGCAAATCGGATCGATGTGATGACAGCAACGATGTGGATGCGAAAGATCACGATGCAGGCTATGAGCAGAGTCACGTGACAGCGCACTGCACTGGCGTTCGAGGCCCGTCTGAGATGGAAGTGGAAAATCTGTCACCCGATGTCGCAGGACCCAGCGAGACTGACGAGGGCCGTGATGGCAGTGAGGAAGAGTTCAAACAGCACGCAGACGAGCAAACGAGCGGAGTGAGGAAAAGGATCGCGGCGAGCATGGAGAAAATGTAACGGACGGTGTTGTCGTGGTGGGCCTCAAATATATTTCTGGCAATACATTTCAGTGTTAATAATTATGTATGGTGAAACCTCATGTATTCACACGACTATTCACACATCTAACTGCAGTTAACAGTTGTATAGCACAGCATGTTATTTTTGTATTTAAAACCAACATAAAAAAAACCTGCAAGACACCCGTTCTATTTAATTTCCTCATGTTTTTGTAAAAATATAAATATGGTCTATAAAATACTCAGTGCAGTTACTGAGGTAACATCTCACCTGTATAAGCAATACTTCCAAATTATATTACTCTCACTACTCTTGGCAAATGGATCCCTCAATTAGTGGGAATAGTTGAGGTTTCACTGTATATTGTTCTTCCATTTGGCCCGATTGTCTTCTTGTTGTCAAGGTACGAAGAGAAGTTGTGGTATATCATGCAACCATTTAGTAATTGTCGTATCCCATTTTGTTGGGGGAGAACCCCGGATGGCATAAAACTACTTGCAGTCTCCCTTCAGTAGGCCGCTTAACATAACCACAAAGTTTATGTAATTGGTTTTCTTTGTGTCCTGTCTAACGTTCACATCCCGAAGAGCAGGGATAAGCCATATCAAGTGCAACATCTGATTAATTTGATGAAGGCTTTATTGTGCCCTTATTGGTGATGGGGTGAGACCATCAAACTCTATACACTTGAGAACCGATATTGCCTTGGTTATCCAGCTACACCGTGGACCCAGGACGTTGATGGTGCTGGCTGAATACACATTACCCCCTAATCCACAAACACAACTGATTCTCCTTCAACACGTTCCTTCGGAGTGGGCAGGTAGGAAATTGGTTGGACAGCGCATTCGTGCACGACAGACAAATAATCCCTGGTGGGCAGTGTGTAACCTGTTGTTCCTACCTGTATAAGTGTAGTGTGTAGGTTAAACGTTGAGTTTTTTTATAAGGGCACCACGTGGTGACAAGCCCCAGCCCCTCCCCACCCAGCCCCTCCCTCCCACCCCCACCCTCCCCTCCCCATATGCACGACAGACAGACAAATAATACATGGTGGGCAGTGTGGAACCTGTTCCTACCTGTATTAAGTTGGTTACTATGAAAGCGAGGGTTCAGTTTTCAAAGTGTTCTATCCTGCATCAAACGAGAACCGTTTGTTATATTCGCCAATGGTTTCAAATGTTGGTGTATGTAAAAATTAATTGTACAAATTGGTTTTATTTATGTTTTGTATTCATGCGTATTTGTATTTTCATCTGTTTATTGCTATTTATATGTCTGTAACACATAAGCCAATAATGGTTAAACATGCATGCTACAAATTGTCTGGTTTCTTTTGAACGTGGTTGTTCCGTAGTTTGTAGAGGTTTGTAAAATCATATCATAAATACAAATGATTTATGCAGAATAAAACAAGACACCTACTTCCAGTAACAAAAAGCGTTGGTTTACAGTCTTTACAGCACAAATGGAACTTAATGCAGAACAGTCGCTCACACAACGGAGAATGCGGAGGGCGCCTACAATACATCGCCATAATGCGCTCATATATGACAGCGCAAGTCAAAACCACTGGATACATCAGCAATCCAACTACAATTGCATTAAACAACACATTTATGCCAAGCAATCCAATTGAGCACTTGGAAATATTTAAGGATCTGGATGCAAGTTGTTCAAGGTCAATCTACACTTCTATGGAAAATAAAGTGGAGTGAATGGAACTCGTTCTATTTTCCAAGTAATTCCAATGCTATGCATACACAAGTGTACCATCAGCATGTAATGCCATCATGTCAGAAGCATAGAATAGATCACGATATTTGCACATCCATTTCAGGATATCTACTTGTCTTCAGAATGATCTCATAACCTTATCAAGTCTGAATGGTTTCCACATTGATGCAGATGGATATTTTAAAATAATTGTTTAACTTGGGTTTCACACAAGCTTGTTCACCATCCAATAATGGCTCATGCATTTGTATAACTTTAGCACAGCTCATTAGCAAAGTCTACAGCTAATTTCCTGTAAATTTCAGCTGTGTTGAGATATTCCTTCGCCAGAAACTCCATTACTCAACACTGTCCCACAAAACATGTTGCACTATTTACAGCTATCTTGGGAATACCCAGTGTTCTGTGCAGGTTTGATGTCACTTCTCACAAGAGTTGCCAGATGTGGCAATTCCACACATTTTAAGTAATCTGGGATGCTTTTAACAGTTGTCTCGATTAAAAAAGTTTACATCAACAGGTTACTTAAAAACTTCAAATTTAGAATCCACAGGTTAACCTTGAATAACTTTCATAGTTGGGTCGTGGTGTCAGAGTCTGAAGTCTTCCACCCTCTGGGCCAGTGGTGTCAGTGGAACAATGGCTGGATGGCCAGGGACCATTCTCATGCCAAAAGCCCACGATGACAGAGCTGGATCTGAAGCGAGCTCGACGAGAGAAACTGGCACCACCGTGAAGATGGGGAACTCCCACAATTAGAGCTGGGATGATTGGTCGATTAACCACCAAAACTGTGAAATCGCCTACTGTTGTCGTCGATTACTCGGTTGACAACCACACATCCTGTCTCCCAAATGCGGGAAACCACGCCCAGCGTGACGTGCCTCATGGTGTTGATGTAACAAAGCCCCGCCCATCACCTCTCGTCCAGTGGCACAAGTCGGTAAGGCATTTTCGCCAACTATTTTCACATTCTCCAAACGGTCGAATGATCGGAACTGATAATCTGTAACCAATTAAAAAATGCAATTACCCAGCTCTCACGATGGCATGGGGGGGGGGGGGGATTGGATATTAGAATGTAGGGCACAGATAACTGCTGGGGGCCTCATGAGAGGAAGGTATGTGGGCGTCGAGTTACTCAGGGAGGCAAATAGCCAAGAAAGGCTGGGGGGAGAGGTGTGAGGGTGGAGGTTCTGCACAGTGCAGCGCTCACAGGCCGATGGTTGACGTTCTAGAAGCAGGAGAGGTGCTGTGGCTGGGTCTATTGTGTATTGAGTGTTCTGTCTGCAACCCCCATCCCGTGCTTGTGACGGTGCAGTGCTGCACACTGGTGGTGGAGGTCTACTACTTCCACTCTACGAGCAAGCTCCAAGCAGTGGGATGCTGACCTTGCCGGCCAGTGTGGCTGGGGTGCTGGCGGGGGTGACGCTGCGCTTTGACATTTGGTCCATGTGAATTGGGACCAGTTGCCCAGCGCCAGGGTGTCTGACCTGCAGGCCCTGCCAGCTACATTTCAGAATGTGTTTAGCTGCCACACAATTGAATTAGTAGCAGCATCGATGAAGATACCACGCGAACACATGGGCAAACTGGAGCGCGGTGAAGTTGATGAAGCTGTGCGGGAGATGCTGACAGATAGCATCATTGATCCCTCCTCCAGCTCCCGGTCAGCATCAGTTGTCCTGGAAACCAAGAAGGATGGAACTCTGTCCATCAGTGACAAATTTCCTCTCGCGTCGACGAGATGTTCAATAATCTCACCAGGGTATGGCTCTTCTCCGCCTTTGACCTGGCATACGGCGACTTGGAGGTTGAGGTGGCCCCGTGGATTGTGTGCAACAGTTTTATAGGATTCAGTGTTGCACGCAATGCATGAGGGGTGATGTGTGAGTGAAAATGGTTCGGCTTGGTGTTGGGGTGGGTGGATTTGCATGGGAGCGGCATCGCTCCCATGCAAAGAGAGTTGTCTCTCACCGTTCCTGTACTCGAGTCGCATTCGACTGGCACTCACGGACCCCATGCTGTCCCTTGCCGGACCAGAGCGAGGCCCGAGTGCTTCTAGTGACCTCTTGTCCCTGTGGTGGCTCGTTCAATGTTTTGATTTACACAGCCGTAACCAGGAACATATCCAAGAAATTTCCAGATCATGCTGTTATAAAAATTGATATTTAGGAACCTGTATCATAACTCACAAATGTAATACGTATCGACAACTAAATTGAAAATTAATAACTGTCCTTACAAACTCTGGTCACCCGGGTTTCATTGCGAATGACTTTCGATGGGCTCTTACCTGTCACTCGGACATGAAATAACGATGTAATGTCACAACGTCTTTATCAGTCGCAGAATTATAAGGGCATGGGAAGCATCTGTCCTCATAAGAGCGCATTACCATCTCCTGCTACCCTTTTCACTACTCACTTCACATTTGCCCTGAAAATAATGGCAGTAATTACACTTGTGGGTGCTGACTGCTGCAATATTCTCCTGCTTTTTGTTCAATGTGTTGATGTCAATTGTGAAAATCGTCTCAAAAGCCACGAATACTGTTGAATACATCGCATGCTCAAATATTGTGGGGTTTTTTTTCCCTGGTGTCATGTGATGCAGGGCAGCAAATAAAGCACGCGTTCTTTGATGCCTCCCTCTGATTTATGTTATGCTGGAGTGCCATGCATAACATTGGCTAACTTATAATGAAATGCAATTATTGAGCAATCCTCGAGGAGATACGAGTGGGCACAAACAAGACAAAAGATGAAATAACGTGTAAAGATTGATATAATGCTACACGTTTCAGCATTGATTAATTTGTTAGGAAAATAAGCATACAAAGTATGGATTTCACTGACCACAGCACAGCATAAGCTGAAATCTACCCACAAAATACAGTGTAAAATGAAATTGAGTTGTATGGAATATCAGATTAATAAAAAACTGAAGTATGCATGAAAAGAAATTGACAATGGTACAACCTAACACATGCTATGAAGGTATAATAATTTAAATTCAATGGTAACCAAAGCTAAATTCTCCAAAATGTATGCCACTCAGAGTCGTTATCATCTCCAATGTTGACCCTGAGCCAGGAAGTGGAAACCTCATTCCAATTACAGGATACATTCACATATACAAATACGTGATCAATTATTCAAGAGTGGTTCTTAATTTTATGAAAAATGTATGTCATAATGCTTCAAAATCATCCATTACCATTCAACCGCATTAGTGTATACGATTGATTATAAAGCCAACTGGTAATGCACGTACGACCATATGTTTAAAGATGTTTGTTCTGGTGCCACAAAGTCTGACCTTTGACCAGTGCCCAGCGCTGAGTCTCAAGAGCATTGAAACTTAGTCAGGGCTTTCCTGAGTAAACAAAAAATAATAAATGTTTTTTTTTTATAAACGAGCACCCTCTGCTAGTTTGGCGGCAAAATCGGTGTCTCAAATATTTTCTAAGAACCATACAATACGTGTATTGTAATCATGTGTCTTATTTAGTTAACTTGCCGTTCCCAGGATTCGAACCTGTCGCCTCTCGGCGTCTGGGGTTGACTATCTTCCTTACGGTTCAACACATGATCACACAGACTCACAGGGCTTCTACATGGTGTAGGGGCACACGCAGAAATGTGTTCTCGCCTTTAACAGGACTGTTTGGGCGAATGCTGTTCTGAAGGCTAAGTCAAGCTAAGAAAGGCACAGGACCACTTTAAATATTCGCAATAGACCACCTGGCACTTGCATATGAAATTATTTCCATCGCTCCATCTACTCAGTGGGAATGCTCTTGAATGTGTTCAATTCCTTAATTCTAGATTTGAAGCTTTCGTGACTGCAAAGATTCATATTCTTAGGTTTTTTCGGTTAAGTCACGTAAGTAAAACATCAAAATAAAAATCAAATAACGAAAATAACGAAATAACGAATAATGACGGAGACTTGTGTTGCCTCCGAAACGTCGTGATTTTTATTTTTATTTTTATTTTGATGTTTTACTTACGTGACTTAACCGAAAAAACCTAAGAATATGTTCAATTCCTTGTCTGCCACTCTATTGCTACCAACTCGCATCTTTTTTAAGCAGCACACCACGGGAGGGAAGTAGAGTCAATGATCTGATTTATGGCAAAAAAAGGAACGGGAAGGGAAGAGAGTGCATAAAGAATGGGATATAAGAGGAAACTAATGAAGAGGGGGTTGGAAATTTGGATCAAAAGGTTAGGAAAGATGAGAGTCGGGAAGAAGAGGCTACACAAGGAACTCGCCGCTGCTCGGAGCAGAATGTTTTCACGTGGGGTGGGAATAGGGGAGGGATTTTGTAGTGGGGATGGACACACAAAAGTCTGATAATTTACGAAGGGGCTTGAGCTGAATTAGATTTTGTAGATGTAATTAACAATGAATGTTCTCGAATGCATGCGTTGTTTTTGTCGAAGAGCACGCTTCTTTTCACACTTGAAGGTCCCCCCCCCCATGTTTCCAAGCTTAATAGCATAGCAGGTGCTACTCACCGATTAGAAACACTCGCTCACGTCACTAAAGAGTGGCCTCACATTAGCCAGGAGAGATGACAATCTCATGCAAGTACATTAGTCAATGAAACGTCAACTCGTTTTAATGAATTCATTGTTCATCTCAGAGTAGCCCCTACAACACCACCCACCGGAAGTTTGTGACACCAGCCGCCACTGCGTCTGGCCACGAAATTCATAACCGTGACCCGTGATGAAGTGTGGGGCATACACCAGTATTTATGGCCCATTACTGAGAAGGAAACACTCAAGCCATGAATAATAAATAAATAAACAGATAATAGTCTATTTCACCACTAATAAAAGCAAAACAACATTTTCCTCCATTAGCCAAAGGGGCTGTGTGAC